ATACAGGTGAATACAAAAGTCTGGTGTTAAACGACATTTCAAATTATTTTATTGAATTCTACAAAATTTTATTATGCGTCATCATCGATGTCGGTACTAAAATGGCTTGTTACATTCCACGGTTGGGCAACAATCTGGGTAAGGCTTGCAGTAATCTATCTCTGTTAGGTAACAATCCGGATCTGCAATTCCGATTGAACCGCATCTGTAAAGTAGCAATATGTCCTAAAATACGTATGATTGGCAACGCTATTCTTTTAAAAATACAGCTTAGAACAGAGCATAGAACGTAATACTGACCCACATTAGATGTTAAATAAAATAAAGCCGGTTTTAAACATGGGTTGTATTTGAATTCCTAATTCTGCGATAGTATTCGCATAATTGGTCAACTCTGTATTCTAAAAGAAAAGCAACGCTGGTATTTGAAATAGAAACCATCAATGGAGCAGTGGTTAAAACGCTCGATCTGCGATACGGTTGTAAGGCAACATTCGCAAGGGCCAGTCATAGGATAGATGACTCAAAATTTATTGTCTCGGGCTTTGCTGTGCTTCGGAAGATACGTTAAGCCGTTGATCCCGCTGTTACTACAGTCGATAACACCTACTCGTGGCCCATTCTCATGATCATTTGAATTGATTCCATCCATAGGCAAGGCCTAAGTGCCAGCATTGGGGGAGATTAATAGGCTGGTTATGATGAAAGTTGTTGTTTGTGTATATGAAAAACTCGATGTATTTTTATGAAATCTTAAAGAACGTTTTGTATTCTTATAAAATATGTCCTAGGCATAAAATAGTTTAATGTCACTCTTACGAAGTCACAGCCAGAAATCAACCAATTATATAAATTACTAGCTGATAGCCTGTTGATTATTTTATTGACTCGATAGTACAATCCTATTTAATATCAAATTGTTAGTATTTCATCACCAATAGCTATCCTCATATCGGAACCGCCGAACCATAACAAAAATAAAATTATGAGCATCAAATTTAAAGAATTATTTGCTTGTAATTTTGAGGAACTCGATGGTTCAGTGGTTAACGCGTTCGGCTTGCGATGCGGATGTTAAGCAACATTCACAAAGGCCTGTAATAGGATGGGTAACCGATTTTTTTTTATCTCGAGCTCCTGGGTGTTTTGCAAATTACTTTAAGACGTTGGTTCCGGATGAATTTCCAGTTGTTAACGCTCAAAAATCCACATTGGGTCATGGCCCATTTACACTTTTCGATTAAATACGATTCCAACCATAAGGATGGGAGGTGCCCCAGCATTGGGCATATAGGCCGGTGATGACGATAGTGATGAACTAAAAAAATACTAGGAAACGGAAAACTATTAGATGGATGATTTTGATTTGAACAATCCAGGATTCACACTTACGTTTCACGTATGATGAAAACATTATCACACCGGACTCTTTGGCATTGCTCGGGGGGGTCTATAGTGGAATTAAATGGAATGACTTGGTCGATTTCTCTGATATAACAGCCTTGTTGACCCTCTGAAAACGTCAAGCACAACGATTGAGTAACATTTTAGATATTAGAAAAAATCCACAACAACGAACTAGGTTTGACATATGATTGGTCAACCTCTACGTTTTCTTACATTTTTATAAATGATCCAATATTAACTAATTACTCATTAGTGATAAAAGTAGTAAGATTTTAAATGATTTTAAAATTTCACAAATAGTCTTTGTACTTAGAATAATTTGCAGTACTATTCTGTAATGAAATCGTCGTCGAGTTCGAAACTGGTTCGAAGTCTTTATAGCATTTAAAAACACTTACCAAACTTTTCAGGGATGGGTGGTAGATATTCCCTCGATACCGCACTCAAACTCAAACCCGCCATGGCCAAAAGGATACAACACTTCAGCAACATTTTTAGAATAAAATGCCTTGTTCAATTAAGTGTAGACGAGTGTACACTGAGGTAGATCTATGTGAAATACAACGATGAAATGAATCCAAAGCACCGTTTTCTGAGCAAACGCGAAATGTAGGTATATTTTACATCAGAGCATGAATAAAAATTAATTGTTTTCAAATTAACGAAGCAACATTATGTTTCTCGTAGCGATGACGATTGTCTGCAAAGCAGCCACCCTTGTTTATCTATACTAGCTTACCAGGAAAACTTTGTTTAGCCACATACATTTGAGGTGCACCACCTTTATCATTTAGAGATATGAAATTGATTACAACAAATTCACAGATCCTCTACATATACACATAAAATTTCATCAAAATTGTTCAATCCGTTTCAAAAGAGTATGGTAACTAAAATTAAGTAACTCCATGGCGTAGTTAAGCGCCGCCGCCCGCGATCGTTGTCGTTAAGCAACTTTCGCAATCGGTCACTTTGACGATAGGTGACCAAAAATATATATATTTCGAATTACTCTGTGCTCTTAAGTGCTGTGTTGTTAAGCCGTTGGTCTCGGTGCATTTGCATTACCCTCTTTCTTAATTCGTTATTACCCTCCAATCCGCATTGGACCAGTGTGGAAGGTCATGGCCCATCGTCCTTACTCCATTACTCTTACTCTTTGTTCCACTATCGTCTCTTAAATGAAGTTGACGATGCTAATTACTATAAAAGGCAAATATTTTGCAAATAAATACATATTTATTATATCGATACTAGTATGTATTTGATTTCAATGACAATAATATGAAATGGTTCAAATGGTTGCTCATGGAAGCAAGCGGCTCTACCACGTTACTGAAGTTCTGATTTATCTGCCAAAATGAAGCACTGGATGATTTGCCCACCAGACAGATCACGATCTGTCTCAAGTCGAAGTCGAGCTCGTTCTTCAAGTCGAAGTTTCCATCACGAAAGCCTTTAAACCAAAATCGCACGGTGCGTTCATTAGCAGACTCCTCTCCAAACGCAACATTGATATTGCATGCTGTTTTTGTAGCGTTAGTTCCAAACGAATTGTCGCAGTATCCATCTTCCTTGTCTAAGTTGGATGACAAAAAGAATTGAAAGTCGATATTCAAACGTCTCACATTTTTTAAAACATAAAAACAAATCATAGAAACTATTTGAAAAAAAAAGAAAACATAACCTATTACAATAAAACGGCAATTTCATACTGTAACCCCTAATATTTTATACCAAAACGTGACCATTAAAAACGAACACAAAAATCAGTAAGATTACCAATGATCGATGCGTCGTCACTTCTCATTTTTAGAAAAATCTATTATTTTCGTTACTTCAAAGGTAATCAATCTTACACCATTCACAGTTGTGTTATATTATTTGAAGTTTTAGTTAATTATGTTAGAGTAGTTGAATCAGAATGTTTTATGTTTTAAGAGTTATGCCGCGAGACTTCTGTCGTGAGACAGACTTTAGTAGGACTTCTTGAATGTTATGGTTGATACTACAGACCTTATGAAGCAATCCATGACAATATGGCATGGCTGATGCCGAGCAAATCTTAAATGTTGAGAGAGAGGATGTCCTTATAAAATAATCTATCAAGATATGTACAAATGAGTTTAATGTTAATAAAAGGGCATCCTTGTTTATTAGTTTGTCAGCTAATGCGGACATGATTTACCCCACAGAATACAGAAAGAAGAGTTCTGTGATTTACCCCATCTGAAATACAGCGAACTTACATATATTATTTGCCTTGGGAACATACCAATTACTTTACCTCTAGCTAGGTCCTATGTATATATATTCCACACATATACACATACACGCAAACACGCACGCACGCTCAGATTGTAAGATTTCCGTATAACTTTATGTATATATTGGTTTTTATGTGATATGTGGGTCTTGTGATCTGCAATTCAAGCCACAAAGTTCCTTCGCAGACTCCAGTCTCTTACAAGGGTAACTTTGGTAAATTAAATTCTGTTTGTACATCAACCCATTTATTACCTTTGTGATTAGAAAATAAATATATTATTATGGTTAGCATGTACATTCCCAGGGTGAAATATAATCGATAATACTAGAGAAGTAGAGATTAATGTCACAGAATATAATCTTAGGGGAAGCGGTGGATATTTTCACAGCTATATTGAGTTGTTAGTGAGAGTAAGAATCAAGTCTGAAGCCAACCAATATTATGTTTATATTTTAATTGAAAATAAAATTAATAGAAGTCACTGTAGAATAGTGCTGCAGCTGCTTGATGGGATGACGAACTCTTGGCTGTTGTGCCCGTGTTATGATCAGTTTAGCGTTAAGCATGAGCACGACATCAAAACAACATCGTTCCACAGGAACATTTTTAAATATCATTGTTAGGGAAGATGTGGAATAAAAATAAACAAATTTGGTCTTTGTGTTTTGTTTATCCCTTTTTCTATATAGTCATGGACGGCCAGTATTCTGTATCATGCGACAGAGTCATGAGTAAGAATGAGAAAAAAAAAATTGTCATATAATATCATGAATTAATAAAGTGGTGTTAGTAATCATTTGCTAAGGAAATTGCCAATCTTTTGCTCTTGTTTAATATTGTTTTTGTTTTTAGATTGATTCGATGGGACCAAAGATTCTAACTTATGAAACCAGCACAACTGGCTCTTTTTAAAAAAACAAGAATTGAGAAGAGTCTGAACTGAGTATAAGCGATTTATTTAAATAATTCTCTTTCCGAATATAATGCTAAATCCAATTTCTATTCGATGTTTTCGAATGTTTCAAAACATTAACCTTAAAATATTAATTTTATCATTATTCAGTTTCCTGGTTGCAAAAGTCATTTACAGACATATGTGGTACAAAAACAAATCAATAAAATTAATGTAACAGGTCAACGCTTGTATGGAGAGTGAATATTCTTCTCTGTGCGCTGATAATATATTTTTCCGATAAATAGATTATTTCAGTCATAATATTAAACTTCTATTTAAGCTATAACGATCACCAACAACGAGATAGATATACATGATATTTCAAATAAATGTATTACAATTTATAAATATAGGTATTACAAGATATAATCAAACATGATTATTGCCGTCACATTTAATAGTTGGACAACAATCTGGATAGGGCTTGCTCAAATCCACCTTTGTTTTGTGACATTTACCATTATTAGTTAAAACCGCACCACATCTGTAAAATAATCAATATTGTTGGTTTAAATTATAAAAGAATATACAAAGGAAACGTATACATAGGTAATATTGAAAATTACAGTTCTGCCTCGGTGTGATTCGACTTCGATCTAAGTATTGTCACAGCTTAAAGATTAAATCAAGTTAAACCTTTATAACCTTTTGAATCACTAGTGAGATAAGTAATGTTGACCGCACTCTTTTTTGTTTTTCTCCTTAAAATGTAATGTTATCTTACACATTATTATACGTGCACGCACATGTGGTCAATGCTTTAATTTCTTTTTCTTCATATAAAAGTAGGTTTTATTTGATTGAACTTTTATGATACAACACTGCTGCTTTTATAACAAATAATATCACTGCTGTTATTAACCACTTTTAGTATTTCTCAAGAATTGATTGAGCTCGATGAAGCAGTGGTTAGAGTGCTCAATCTGCGATATGGTTATTAGGCAACGTTAAGTCGTTGATCCTTTGAGCAATTGAGCTTCTCATACCTTTTGAATTATGGAGAAGTTTGAGATGAAATTTATATCCTGAACTATCTATTTAATGACTAACCTCTAAACGATTAATAATCGATGTAACAAATTATATTAATAATAATCATTCATGAAAAAATACAAAGGTAATAAAATGAGATGAATTGATATAAAATAGCATTAAAGTACCATCAATATTAGCAACATTGTAAAATTGAGATTATATTAAAAAATTGTGTAACTATATTTAAATTAGTGTTCGCTATGTTTTTCTATATGTATATAGTTTAAAATTTATATTATTATTCTTATTATAGCTATTATATCGTTTTCTATGGCTAGGAACAACAAAGTAAGACATTCGAACCTCGGGTTACTTAAATGATGTTGTAATAATAAAATATTATAACCGAGTTATATTATGTGATTTTTATTCATAGAAGTAAATCTCAAGAAATTATTTATTAAAATAACTTACCCAGCGTAATTCATCATTGGACCACAAACGATTCTGTAGCAATATCCAATAGGATTTACTACCGATCCATATGGTACTACATTGTTAATCTCTTTAACGTAACAGCCTTCTTTACCCTCTGTAAATAAATAGCATTTAGCTTAAAACCAACCTTGTAACTTGTAAATCTACAGACCTTGTAACATAAATCACGATACTGATATGATAACAGTCCAAATATAACTCATTGGCATTTAAAAAGTCATTTAGGTACTATTGATTGGTGCGATAATAAAATATGTTTTACAAATTCAAATTAAGAAATGAGAGTTTGTGTTATTTAGATTAATGGCATTACCTAATACACAACTCTTTAAATACATGAATATGTACAAGTCTATATATTCTTTTATTTTATACTTAGATAGGTTTATCCAAGATACACAACATAACATAAAAAAATGAATTTTACCAAAAAATAGACTAATCAAAGGATAAAAAATGATCATACGGCTACACGTCCGACTACCACGATTTTGAAATTCCCTCAAGTGATTTTTAACTCTATCTTCCATCATCATTATCATCATCATCACCAGCCCTTTTTACATTCCCACTGCAGGGGCTCAGGCCTTCCTTATGGATGGTTAAGGAGGATGGGCCATGACCCTCCACGCTGGCCCAATGCGGATTGGAGGGTATTAACGACTGCAAATGCAGCCGGTACCAACGGCTTATCGTGCCTTCCGAAGCACGGAGTAGTTCGAGATAATAATTTTTTGGTCACCCAACTCGTGACCGACCCATGCGAAAGTTGCTTACCGACTCGCGAGCTGCAGCGCTTATCCACTACGCAACCGTACTGTTGACTTTGACTTTGTTAATTTTGTCCGTCTGATGTAAACTCTCACTACAATTGTAGTATTTCTCAAGAACCCATAAGATGTAGGAAATAAAACCGGAATGTGCTAATTAATTCAACAATCTGATTCACAATTCTTTCGTTTCCTTCATATTATTCTATTTTCCAAAGGTAAAACAGAAACTCTTTTCATACTCACGCATACTCTTTTCCCACCCACACGATTCTAAGCCACAAACGAAAACTTAACTAGGCACAAGAGCTCCGTCCAAAAAAAAAACTTTCTTGAATATCGAATATCTTAGTTCTAAAAGTGTGTTTACTAAATTCAACACAAAATATATGTAATATCTTAAAAGAAACAATTGATTAGAACAATGATATTATTAATATTGTAGAAGAGTATAAAATCTTTGGTTGCACCACCAAATTCACAGAAATGTAGGTTATTTCTGAGGTTCAATTGTATTTTGCTGTTTCATAAGTTATTAATTTAAAAAATATTTATACATCATTCTGTCTATGTGAAAACTTACCGAATTCTTTAGGTATAGCTGGTGCAAAACCTGACCACGTCCCACATAAACTCAAACCCACCATAGCCAAAATAATATTAACTTTAAACAGCAACATTTTCAAGAGATTATTATCTTGATTGCAATTTTTGTACAATATTTATGGGAGACAAACTATTTATGTACAGTTTATAATGTTACTATAATTTAACCAAAATTAAATAGTTAGTATTCTAACGAGACTGTTTATAAACTGACAATGTTTACTCTCGTAAGTCGATATATATAAGACATTGTTATCTTCATGTACCTATTAAAGAAAAAAAAGTGGTTATACAAATTAATGCGGGTTTTTCTGATACATTTAGTGTGAAACATTACATTTCAGGAATCTTCTGTGCGGAAAACAATGCATAATATTTATTTTAGACACTATTTTATTAAAGTAAAATTAACTGCCAAAGACCTGCTTAAGAATCGATATCTACTCGTAAGTAGATATAATGTAAGTTTTATTTTTTAAAACATCCAGTTTCGATTCCCGAATTAATAACTAGTTTTTCTAATGCACTGCTTTCATAATGCAGTTTTCTTTTCACTAAAATCGGTGACACGGACATCTTAAGAACAGATCTTCGTGTCTTATAATATCAGATTTTCCCATACTGATAATTTTTATTACACCTGTAAAGTATTAATATTTGTATTCAAAAGATTCCACAAGAACTTTACTATCTAGTGCTTTATGCTGAGCTTTGATTTTAATAAGCAAACTTTATAACTTTCAAAGTGACTCTTGTTACATTAAGAGGTCAAACAAACCGAGAAGGCTATCAATATATTCAAACGTATGTATTTATGAATTTAATTCATATCGAGCATAAATGTCAAAGGGGTCTACCTTGGCACCTATAAGAAGTGGCCTATCTGTAAACAATACTTCATCTTCTTCGGGAGATGAAATTGATAATTTTGCTGTTCAATAGGATGATATGAATATAGAAAACAGTGTCTTAAACTAAATGAAAATACACGTACGTACAGTCATATAACAAACTGTTCTGCTGAAAAGGAACAAGCAGCTCAGTGTGTGTGTGTTAATGACTGCAGATACGCTTCTTTTTTCTTCTTTAATAAAACACTGTCTCATCCTGAAGATTTTCATCATCATCAGCGTATTGATGTCTCTAGTTCTGGGTCACATACCTTCCCTATGGATACAATTGTATCAAATCATTTAGGAGAAATTGGTCGTCGTCTCCATCGGGCTCTTCTTTTCTGTTCTCTAAGATTCACAAGGTCCCATATTACTAAATTACATGCGGTGGGGATTGCTCAGCTTTTACAATATGGTAAAAATGAATTACCTACACTAATAATAAAGCTGAAGAGTTTGTCCAGTAGTTCCTGATATTATAGAGTTCATTGTTTAAACTCTATAATATTTTAATTGTATTTTTGGTATTGAATAAGTCCATTTATCGAGGAGTACTATAGGCTATATCACATCACAGTGTGACTTACAGGAGTGGAGCAGCAATGAAAAATGTTGCAAAAAAGGTACTCAAAAATCATGTATTACAAAATTGATCCCCTTTATTACAAAATAAAAGTCCACGAAAACACATGTCTATCTTATATCTTATCCCGAAAAAAGCATAGAAGGGAAGAAAATGGCAGTGGAAGTTCGTATACGGCATTAAATTAACCATAAAAACCATCGTTTACATTTCATTTTGTCATTATAATTATGGCACTTTTTTCTAAATCCACTATTATTTAAGCTATTTACGCAGAATTAAATGTTGTTTTGAAAACTTCAAATAGGTACAATGTTTGTATTCTTTATTGTTTTTCCGATTTTTATTAACCGCTCTTTCATTTTCTTTCAGTCGCTTTCATTTTCAATATTGCGGTTCCATAGTCAACAAGGACAACTTATAGTTACGTCATATCCGTCTGTTTGTCCGTTGGTCTACGGTTTAGCTCAAAAACGATTTTAATTAGAAAAGTGTAAATTAACATGAGTACACACTTGAATCACGCCGACAAAGTGGTAAAATAAAATCTTGAAAAAATTTTTTTTTCGATTACTAAAAATAAAAATGAAATGCTTAAAATGCGCTTCTGGTGATAGGAAACAATTTTAATCGAAAAAAGCAACACAAATTCAATGAATCGAGAAAGTAAGAACGAGCTGAACATCAAGTTGCTAAAAAGATCAGGCGTAGACTCATGCACAAGAAAAACATCAGTCTGTTTTAAGCCCTTAAAAAAAGCCTTTCTGAAAGTCCAGACTAAGCACTGTAGTCAAATATATTTCAGCAAAATGACGGCATTATTGTTAAAAGACTTTAATAAAAGAACTATTATTTTAAAGAAAATATTTGTTTGTATATTTTGTAAGTCAGATCGATTCTACTGCGCACTAAAATGGAAAGAAGAGCAACTGAATTATTTATATATGAAGACATAACGCGCAAGTTATTCGCAGGAACACCGATATTTTTTTCTTATTTGGTTCCTTGTATTGGGGAAGTCTATGCCCCAGAAGTAGGGATGCTGATAAGATAATAATGATGATATAAAAGTGGATGGTTACTGGCAGATTTTTAATTAAGATTAGCTTAATACTCTAGTACAGCAGAACAGTGTGCACACAGTACCCTCGGACCACGTGGGCGAAGTCGCGGGTTACAGCTAGTTATACAACAAACTTTTCAAGCTCAAGATGCTCAGATATTATATCCTACCTGCGACCACTCACCTCTTGAACCAAAACAAATATTGTATTTGTTTCGTTGAACTATAAGCTTGTTTTTTAATGCTACTCTCTTTTTTATACTACTTACATAGATATACAAATTAAAGAGATGTTTATGACTTCTTTTTCGTAACTAAGTGTACTACGTATAATACAATATAATAATGGGTTAACGATATAAGCAAATCGTACTGATTACCATTTTTTTCTATATATAAGTAATTGAAGTCGAACTTGCACTCGAAATATAGGACTTCTAAAAAAATATTTTAATCATTTATTTAGTACACCAACGATTGTTACATTAATACGATTCAATAAACCAACTTAAACTAAATTCGCTAAATGTAGAAACCTTTACAGGTGTATATCATATGCAGAAACTGAAATAAACATTTACTTAGTTATACAGTTCACACAATCTCACTCCATAAAAAACAACTAGGTAACAGTTACAAATAAACAACGATTGAAAAACAAGAAAAACAATATTATTCACTAAGACGTTGAAAGTTAAACTATTTTTTAGGAAATAATCGCTTCAACTTAGCTTTAAATTGAATTAGATACATCACATTTACACCAAGAGAATAACTTTATTTATTAAATATCGTAATCTACCAATTCTCGTCTCTGGTGAATTTGCACCTAAAACCTTCGGCAGCATAATTGGTTTGATTGCCTTGCGTAGCGTTTGATACGGTATCCTGATTTAACCATCTCTAATAATTTATTTTATTTTTATTTTTATTGTTTGAGGTACAATAACAGAACATAAATTGTACATTATACTTAATATCTACCGGTTACTTTATAAATCTATATTCCAATAATAATTGTACACAGCATTTATACAAAAAAAAAAAAAGCAAAGAAATTATTTCAGCACTAAGATTCTAATTTGTGTTTTGAAAACACAACATGAAAACATTAAATAACATAATAGGTACCACTACTATACTAATAAATTAAGTACTATCACACAATAGTGAAACTTTGAAGGAATGTAAACTACAATTAAATACATCAAATTCATCTCCGAAAGAACATAAATTATTATATGCATGACACATACGTGAGAGCGGTGCATGTTTTGAGACATTATTATTGGTACCTGATACACTAAACAATTTAGGAACTCTTACTGATTTATTAGGTACTTTAAAATTAACCTGGTTTAGGAGTTGGTCACAATATTCACCATTTACTATTTTATGTAAGATAGTCAAATCAATTACCCATCTGCGCTTTTCCAAGCTGACCAATGAAAAATGCTTAAGCCGATCGTCATTATCCTGTAATCTACGTCTCAGACCAAACCTAACACAAAGACTTCTCAAAAAACGGCGTTGAACAGCTTCTATTCTATTGATGTGGTTGTTATACATTGGTGACCAAACACTAGAGCAATATTCTAATATACTTCTGACTAAGGACGTGTAGAGTAATATTAAAGAGCTTGGGTTTTTAAATTGCTTGGATTGTCTCACTACAAAAGCAAGCATTCTGCTGGCTTTGTTACAAATTAAATTATAGTGTTGTGTAAAAGATAAATCTGAATCGAACCACACACCCAAATCACGGACAAGATTTACTCGATCCAAGACTATTCCATTCATCTCATATTCGTGCACAATGCTATGCTTATTTTTTGTGAAACTGATTATTTGACATTTATTATTATTGAGAGACATACAATTTTTATTACACCAAAGTAGCAATATATCAATGTCATTTTGTAAAGACATGCAATCATTAATGCTTTTAATTTGTCTAAAAATTTTAATATCATCTGCATAAGCCAAACAATTACTATCAAATTCATTTAAAAAGTCATTGATAAATATCAGGAATAATAGGGGACCCAAATTAGATCCCTGGGGAATACCAGATGATGCCATATACGGCACCGAATCATAACCATTAAGTGTTATAAGCTGTGAACGCTTCAAGAGATATGAAGTAAACCATCGATGAAGACTACCATGAATACCTATGTGATATAATTTATTTAATAGAATGTGATGATTAACGCGGTCAAATGCTTTAGAGAAATCAACGTAGACTGAGTCAACCTGAGTCTTACTATTAAATGAATGGCAGAGAAATGTTGTATAAACTAATAAATTTGAAACCGTTGATCGACCTGATACAAATCCATGCTGCAAAGGACTTAAGGCATGTCTAATATGGTTATAGAGGTGGTCATAAACTATACTTTCAAGGAATTTGGCAAACCAGCTAAGTACACAAACAGGACGATAGTTTGTAATATCACCTTTGTCACCTGACTTATGTATTGGAGTCACATTAGCTACTTTCCATGAAGATGGACAAGTACCACTCCTTAATGACATGTTGTATAATAGAGTTAATGGTTTTGCTAAGGCTTCAGAGCAAAATCCAATAAAGATCGGAGGAATTTCATCAGGCCCCGCTCCTTTAGATAAATTGACATTCTTTAAAAGTTTTAAAACCTGTTTCTCACTTATATGTATATCGCCAAGAGAAAAACTTGTTGATTCAAATTCAGGATAATAATAAGGTTTTGAATCAGGACCATAAACTGAAGAAAAGTACCTTGCGAATAGATTTACAACCTGTGCACCGCAATCAGCAACCTGACCATCTATATACATATGTTTAGGGATATCATTAGTAACTCTTTTGTTTTTTGTGTATCTCCAGAAAGATTTTAAGCCTAAAACCAAATCCTTCTCAATTTTATTTATATATATCTTGAAACATTCATCCACTAATTTTTTGGCTTGTGATCTAAGTAAAGAAAAAGTACCGTAATCTCGGGGATTTTTATATTTGTTAAATCTATGATGATATTTTGATTTCTCTTTAAGAACCTTAATTAGACTTCTAGAGAACCAAACAGGATAACCAGAACTACGTTTTTTCATTTTGGGAGTAAAAGTTTCAATAACACTGTACAACTTATTATAGAAAAACTGTGTCAAATCATTGCAATCCAGAATGGTACCCTGATAATCCCAATCGACCTGTTTTAGTTCTAATATAATTTTTTGATAGTCAGATTTATAAAAGTTGAATCTTTCGATAACGTTATTATTTTCTAATGCATCTGACGGTCCCTTAACAAGCAACTGAAATGGGGGATGATGCATATCCAGACGACTTATAGGAATTGCATTCGATAAGGAAAACCAATCTGCAGTGTTAGTCAAAGCCAGATCAAGTATACGATCATTATGATTAGCAACAAAATTCATCTGATTCAATGATGCAATATGACACAAATCATTAAGAAGATGAGACTTTAAACACGATGGATTTAAGGGAGTGCCGTTTTCCAAAGACCATTTAAGGCCAGTTAAGTTGAAATCACCCAGAATGCAGGTAATTTGATCCGGATATTGAGTCAATACACGCTCACAATTATTGATGAAACTATGAAAAATATCACCAGGTACATAATCAGGCAAATAAACTATACAAATATTCACCGTTGTTTTATTTTTCAGCGTTATCTGAACCCATAGATCCTCCACATACTCGGTCTGCCAATCCAACCCAACCCTATAGTGTAAGTTTTTAGATACTGCGATCAATACTCCGCCACCATGCCTCTTATCAAATCTCTCAAGAAATTTAACATCCCTGTCTCTACGCACTACAACATACCTAGTATCAAACAATTCCGAAGATAGTATTGAATCATTTAACCATGTTTCACAGAGACAAACCACATCAAAATTGCTACACAAAATATTATTGTAAATGTCGTGGGTCTTAGTATTCATGCCACGGATATTTTGATAATAAATTGAATCGAGCATTTTAATTATAAAATTAAGCCAATTCATTAATTAATACTAAAGAATAAAAGAAAAAGATTACAATTAACTACTGAATCAGTTGTATGCTATCATGGTTCTTTACATATATATATATGCTGAATCAGAATTTTTTCGGACATATATGCGTCCGTTACGAACCCATACAAATTTATAATTAAAGTCTTTTGCCCTTTTACGAGCAGCAGCATGTAAATTCTTGTTGGTGGGTGACAGGTGCTCCTGGACATAAATTGGCCGTTTCTCTCCAGCAATTCCGAGTAACGATGTGTTGAGCTTGTTATCTACATTTGACTTATTATACCGATGTACAGCAGAATAAAACTCATCACGGCACATAGCATTTTTGAATCCTAACACTACTGTACGTGGACGTTTAGCTTCCTTATCCTTTTTAGCTACACGAATGCAATTCAATAAATCACCATCGTTGATCCTGTGACCTATTACAGAAGAACACTGTTGCATTAGGCTGATTAGATTTTCATTCCGATTTTCAGGGATGCCATGCATTTCTAAATTATTTGCTCGCAAACTTTGTTCAACATTATTCAATCTCTCAGTAACGTCCACAATAGCAGCTTTAAGCTTGCTGTTGTCCGCCTTCAAAGTATTATTATCTGTAGTCAGTTTCACAATCTGCTGATTCATATCATCATACTGTGTGCTAAGAAATGAAACGGTATTAGTAAGTTCCTGGAGATCATTTTTGATAGTAGCAAGTTCAGACTTTAGAATTTCCTTGAACATTGATGGCATAAGTTCCTTGATCACTTCGCTAACCTGCTCCTTAATGGATAAATGTCCACAACGATCAGAAAACTCAGCAGTAGCAGTATCACGTTTGGAAGGAGACCGATTTTTACTCCGGAGGGTAACATTAATCGCCTCATCACAATTGTCATTGGCCGTAACTATATTACTATCATGTTTCAGATCGCGTATAGGAGTATTTGTGTTTCCCACTTTTGGCTTCCTACTTAGACATTCTTGACATGTCCACTTGTTTTTGTGTTCCTTGTTCATTGTATTACGAAAATGAGCAGTTGACACATTAGCACAATCCAGATCGAATATTTGGGTACATTTACAGCATTTTAAATATTCTCTAGTATCTATAGTACTCATACATCCCGCGCACTTAATCATTTTGGATGCCATTATTGATTTTTTTATTTTATTTAAAACCACTGCTCAACCATGCACTTGTTTATGTTCCCAGCACAGGGTATTTGTATAACAATTCCAGATTAATGCCGCCTCCACAGTTCTTACTTCGCGGAGTTACTTTACGCTAAACGATATCCGATCTAGTTGGCGAGAAAAAGGTCTTAAGTGCCGTGCAGAACGCGTCGCTTACGCGTCGCGATAATGTACCTGCTTTGAATGACCGTTATTACATTCTTTCCGACCCTACCGATGAATAACCCTTAAAATGCACCTCAATATCGAGAATAGTCACGAAATTACTTCACCACAATATGCCAATGGAACAATTCTCCACTATTTGCGAAAAATAAACTACGCAACAGACTTTTTGAACTGATAAATTAAAATAAATTGAACGAATGCAACACAATGATCTTTACTTTTCAGTTTACCGTCGACGAATTTGATATCTTATAATTTTATAACAGAACGTTATATTTAACATGTCACTGCGTTTATCTAAGTTGTGTTGTTTATAAAGGTTTGACAGCTGTTCGTATTGTAATGACTTTTTATCTTTAATATGAGTGAATGACAAGCATCTTGCCAATCTTTTTTATTTGCCTTCAATACGCCATATGTGTGTGGTATAATGTGGAGGCCAAATTTTTCTACCATCCTCTAGCTAGAATGGACCTGACTATAAAGTAATATAAATTCAGTTTTGTAATACATTATATTTGAAATAAATATATTTAATTCCATTATTTTTATTGATCAAATATGGTTATCAGTGTCACATTTGATAGTTGGACAACATTCTGGATACGGCTTGCTCAAATCCACCTCTGTTTTGTAACATTTGGGATCATTCGTTGCAACAGTGCCACATCTGAAAAAACATTAATGTTATTGGATTCATTAAATAAAGAAATATTACAACAAGAAAGCCTGTAGGGTAAGTATTTATTATTTAATTATAAAATATTATATTCCTTTCTTTTCACTATCATCGCTCTACTATTGTCACCCATTGAGGCACAGGCTTCTCCTACAGCTTTATGTATGTCTGTGTCTATAGGTACTTAAAGTACATAAAAAGAGCGAGTCCTAATGGATTGGCAGGTGTTAATGATTGAAGATGCATCCGGAACCAAAGGCTTTCCGTCCCGTTACGTACCTTCCAAAGCACGGAGCAGATTCAAATAAAAATTACATAAATGATTTAAGAACCGGTTTTTTTCATAAATCACTATCAACAAAAAACAGATCTTAAGCACTAATATTTGAAATATTTACGATACAATGGGAGACATCGAACTCCTCGATTGTTCGTTGATTGGAAATAAATATTAAAACCATATAATTATATTAAAACCATTTGTGAAAAACAGCAACGGTTCAGGCAACTATCAACTTGGGTTTTAAAGGCTACCTACATACGAGTACAAATCCGCGTCTGTCGACTCTTCTGCGCTTAGGTGACTTATATCGATTTAATTATCGAAAATTAAATAAGTTATATAAAGAAATTTTTAGTTATAGGTAGAAATAGTCAAAAAATTATTTTTTGTTATCAACTTACGAAGCATAACTCATCATGGAACCACAAGTGATTCTGTAGCAATGTCCGATGGGTTTGACGGTTACTCCAAATGGTACTACATCATTAATTTCTTTAACATAACAGCCTTCTTTACCCTCTGAAAAAAATAGCATTGACACGGGTATTTATTTGACGATATTAATATGATTACAGCACAAACATAACTCAATTGAATATTTTGAAATCATAATATATTTATTTTCACCCAGTACACTGATGACGAATATATAATTTATTTTGAAATAAACAAAAAATTGTTGGCTTATAATTTATTTTCTTTATCGTTCAATCTGTATTTAAACTTACCAAATTCTTTAGGTATCGGTGGCGGATAACCTTGCCACGTCGCACATAAACTAAAACCCACTAAGGCCAAAATTATATTAACTTTCAGCAACATTTTCGGCAAGAATTTAATATTGCAATTATTATACTATAATTCGAAGTGACACTGATATGAAAATAACAACGAAATGAAAATAGTACAATGTTATTTCATTAAACACCCAGTTTCTGATATTTCGTGTCATAATCATCTGATGGCAGGGCCGGAGTGAGATTTGAAACATTTAAAATATTATTCAATACGATTTATATGTTTATAAACACAACCATTCCTTTCTCTCCATCATACTTTCATTCTTTCTCCATTCTCTGAAATTCTTTCAAAGCGCCATTTTTTCAACGTTACGATTCAACTAAACATAAACAATTTCTAATTTATTGTAAACGTCGGCAATATCGTATAGGAGTATAGTTCGTACAATAATGTGACCATAACAAAATAGCCATTATCCTACATGATTGATTAGGTTCCATTTATAAACTAATCCGACTTTGGATGGAGACGATTAACGTACCAATATTTTTAATGCATTCAAAAAATATTGGTTTAATCGAGACTCGACACTAATGCCCGTTTTCACTAACCTAGAACAATGCGTAGCTTAACTAGAAATCACTTAATATTAAGAATAGCCTAAGCAGATTTGTCGTTTCACTAAACCTTGTCTGCCTGACTAAGGACTTACATAGATAGGCAACGTTTGTCTATGATTTTGCATACTTCAGTTGGTTTAGCTATTTTTATTTATTTATTTATTTAACCTTAATTGCCTAGTGAAATAGACAAATGGCGGACTTAATGCCAAAGAGGCATTCTCTACCAGCCAACCAGTAAATTTAGTACATTAATTAAAGCGGCGATTGGCGACAATACGCTATTGATATCTCTGCATAAGAACTATATCTAAATATACATAAAATACATACAATAATAAACATACATATACATACATAAATAAATGCATACATATAGCTATAACACATCGTACGAAAAAGGTGTCAGATCAAGAAAACTTGTTTGAAGCATAATAGAAGTTGCGAGCTGCTGTCTTGAATGCAAATTTGTTAGGAGCACTCCGGACGTTCAAAGGCAGTGCATTCCAAAGACGGATGGCGGTTAGAGTGAAGGAATGAGATACAAAACAGGAATGATGAGAAGGGGTTTGGAGTACCAGTCTACTACTAGAACGAAGATTTTTCAGGTGAGAGGCACCGAGGATTTCAAACCGCGATTTCAAATACTCAGGTGCTCGTGGATCGTAAAGTATCTGGAAAAGTGTGCAAACAATCCTTAAGCACCTACGCTCCCGAATAGGAAGCCACTCAAGATGTTGACGAAAATTGGAGATGTGGTCATATTTGCGCAGACCGAAAACAAAACGAATAGTATTGTTCAGAAGACGATCCAATCTATTAAGAAAGGTTTGATTGATATCAGAAGTACAAACATCAGCATAGTCGAAAAGGGGATGTACAAGAGCTTGGACGAGAGCAGACTTAGTACGGGGAGGGAGAAAGTTCTTAAGTCGATAAAGCGAGCCGAGGGTGCGATGGATTTTACTGCAGACGTTGTCCATCTGATCATCCCAGTGCAAAGTACTGTCAAGAACAAGCCCAAGATTTTTTACCTTAGCAGCATAAGGAATCACCGAGCCAGCATAGGTAACAGCTGGAATAGTGTCGAGGTTAGTTTGCGATATTTGTCGGGAGCTACCGATAATAATGGCCTGACATTTGTTGGGATTGACATAAATACCGAAGTTATTTGACCATTCAAATATCCGCGCAAGATTTTGGTTCAGTGTACATATGGCTCTATTAAGGTTGTGAATGTCATCCTGAGCATATATCTGCAGGTCATCGGCGTACAGGTGATAAGAGGTTGTAAAAACAGAGGTGAGGGAGTTTATAAAAATAGAAAATAGAAGAGGAGAGAGCACACCGCCTTGAGGGACACCAGCAAACAAGTTACACCAGTTAGAAACTGAATTACCCACTCGTACTGCCAGCTGGCGTCCATGAAGATAAGAGGAGAACCAAGCGAGCACGGATGAAGAACAGCCAAGCTGAGAGAGAAGAGCAAGGAGGATATCGTAATCAACTGTGTTAAAAGCGTTACAAAAATCAAGTAATACTAACACAGTTAAACGAGAGTTCTCCATACCGTCACGAATGTCGTCAACGATTTTAATAAGGGCAGTGGAAGTGCAATGACCCGGGCGGAATCCTGATTGGAAAGGGGAAAGGAGCTGATAACGAAAAACAAAGGATGAAAGTTGTTTATGGACAGCGGCTTCGAGAACCTTGGAGAGGAAAGGCAAAATTGAAAGTGGTCTATAATGATTCATGGAGTCAGGGTAGGAAATTTTAGGAAGAGGAATAGTGTAAGCCCTGTGCCAGGCGTCAGGGAAGGAACCAGATGATAAAGAGTGGTTAAGCATTGAGGTTAGTGTCGGGAGAATAGCATCAAGTATGAGATTCACCATATTCCTGCTAATGTTGTCGGGTCCCATAGCCTTGGACTTTATAGAGGCAATCAACTTACGAGTGTCATCTTCGGTGAGAGGGGTAAAAGAGAAGAGATAACTAGGGGATATAGTCGTAGAAAAAAGTTTGGATAAACTGAGGAACTTAACATTGACAGGTAAAGTAGTAACAGGAGAGAAATGACGGTTGAGATCGTCTAAAGCGAAAGGGCAAGAAGGCTGAACGCGAGACTTTCCTAGGCCCAGAGAATTCAGGAACCTCCACATTTCCACTGGGGAGGAGCTAATAATATTTTTGTGAATGTAATGGCGTTTGGCTCTTCTTATCACCTGGTTACACCTGTTTCTGGCATGTCTAAATACCTCCCAGTTTGTATCAGTACGACATCTTTTATAGATACGAAACGCCTTGTTACGTCTACGCATCATAATGCGCACAAAAGGAGTAATCCATGGTGCAGGAGGTCGTTTCAACCTAACAGTCTTGACTGGAGCATGATCGTCAAAAAGCTTGAGGATAACGTTATTAAATCTGGTAACCATTTCATTTACTGTGGCGCCATTGCATACAGAACACCAATCAATTACAGATGCATCCCTCATAAGCGCCCCAACATCCAATCGCGCGAAATTCCTCATGCGAACCATCCTCGGCTTAACCTTGGGAGGCTTAACTTTGTAGACGACAAAGATAAGGTCATGTCTGGAGAAGCCAGGTGCAGGCACCTGACCATGTTTAACAACACGATCAAGTGAAGATATGATAATATGGTCGATCCAAGAGTCATCAGTCGCGAGATTATGATGTGTCGGACTGAGAGGTAAAATAGAGAAGTTCGCGGACTCGATGATTGATCGAAACCTTTTAGAGGAGGGGGTATCCTTTATAAGATCCGTATTAAAGTCGCCCATGATGATGTGATGTTCGTAACCAGTTATGTAAGAGTCAATGAGAGATTCAAAATCTGTAAGAAAAGGAATAGAAGGGGGGCAATAAACAACGCCCAAAAGCACTTTGGTGCCTTTGACATCAATCTCGAGTAAGAGGTATTCCATACAACCGTAATTAGAAGACGAGGAAGCAATTAATTTAAAGGGAATACTATGCGCTAAATAGATGGCTACTCCGCCGCCACCCTTGCCAGCACGATCGTTGCGAATCAGTGTGAAGTTAGGAAGATCATAAGAAATAGAATTTAGACAAGGTTTCAGCCAACTTACCGAAACAAGAATAGCTTGAACTGGGCTGCTGTAGAAGGTGTTAAGAAGATCTGTATAATGGCATGGAACACTCTGAGCATTAATATGACAAACTTTTAAGCATTCAGGAAATAAACCAAGTTCGAGTGCAATCCGTGCACTCAAATCGTCACCATCCAAAGAAGAATTATCGATTGAATTAAATGAGGAGTTTACATCACTAGCAGAGCAATATATACTTGAATCCGACATTACAATGAGGTTTAATTATTATAACAATATATATATATATAAATATATATATATATATATATCTCTCTCTATTATATCAATACAAACAAATAAAATATATTATAAACACAAATAATTTAATAACAATGACCTGCACTATTCTCTGGTTGAAAGGTTACAATCATTGTGTAAAGATTAAGTTACATAATAAAAGCTAAAATATCGCTACAAAGGAAGCATTACAAACGCGATAATAATAGTTAAAATTAAATTTAAAATAATTGATGTTGGTCACCTAAACGTTGTTCAAAACAAAAGCAAAGAAACTACTATAATATTAAAAAGAAATCAAAATAACATATTACATATATATAATTTAACTAAAACCGCATATATTTATGGAAATATCTAGCTTCCTCTGCAAACGAACGACTTACAAAAAAAAAAAGCTACTTTTAAGACGGCACATTTTAACACTGACAATAGGCTGTATGAGCTATCCCTTCGCCACAACAACAATGACAGATTGGAGTTACAGGTGACACATGTCATGATATTCAAGATTGATAGCGGTATGTTATTGTAACAATGTCAAACAAATAAATAAAAGAAAATGTGTGTAGTATTGAAACATAAAGCAATACTGCCCCAAGCTTAAGCATAATAAGAATAAACTAAACAAATAAAAAGTGGGTATCTACAGCAAGCAATGATTGTGTACATAAATAAATTATAAGTGATAAAACTAAACTAAATAACAAGCAGCAACATAGGAGCTATAAACAAAGTTATTGGCAAAGCTAAGAGAAATTGTTGCCAGGAGAAACTGAAAAAAGTACCTTTGTTTTAAAATATGCATGTTACTTGACACCCTTAACAATGCGCTTAGATCTTGACTGCATTGACTGAGATGAAGATGCAGATGGCACACCCGTAGACAATTCACCACCGACAGGCAGCACTGCCGAAGCCTTGCTTACTGATGCTGAATTGGGGAACTGGTTCATAACGTTAGTCAATTTATCGCTGCAGGCAACCCTTAGACGTCCACCATCTGGAGTTTTTATTATAACATTCCCATCGGCTGTCCAAACATTAGAAATACCAAAGTGACTCCGTGCTGTATGGAATACTGCTT